TATCTCAACTCTTTAACTAAGCAGCAATGATATAGGAGGGAAGAGCTAATAAAAGCACTGCAGAGCGTTGACAGAAATCAACGTTTTTAATATTTTTTTAATTAAAAATATTTTAAAATTGCCTTTGTAGAAAAGTGGCATCTCATATAATCTTACACAAATTTCACAAAAAGACATAGTGTTAAATTAGAAAAATATGTGGCATCTGAAATACATGCAGATTTAAGAACACAAACAGGATTAGAGGCCTCAGGCAACAGGAATTGGAGATGTCATACAGTATTAATTCATGGGAGAAACCACTAATTCACATGCCATAAACCCCAAAAAGGAAAAAGCAGTGAATCTCTTGGCTAGCAGAGAGATTCTAACTTATCTATTTGATAAACAATATAAAAAATGCCATACATGGATTCTACAAATGAAAAGTCATTTACCAGGTAGGAAAAAAAGAAGTAAATAATAATTAAAGTGTCAGGGACTTCTTACCCAGAACACAGCTCTTACATCAGATCAAGAATTATGAAAATTAATAGGGAAACCATTCTTGAATAGAAGAATTTTGGGGGTAATGAAAGTTTTGGGGATATTAATTCACTACGACACAGCTTGTTCTAATTCAACAGAATAAAAGGAGGAGCAGGCACAAGGAGGAGCACACAGATAAGGAAGCTCTGCTTCTCCTAATCATGGGCATTCAGACTGAAAAGCCCCAACCTTCCTCCCCCACCTCTGCTGATGGCAACTTTTCCAAGGAAACACCAGCAGTTGATGTCTTTACCCCAGTCCTGAGAAGAAAAATATAATGGGGAGGAGGCAAATAGATGTCATCAATACTCAGGGCAGGTTTTATGCCGGGGAGAGGGAATTATTCCCTTATAAAAGCTGTCCCATCCTCAGTAAGGTGTTTTGCACACTGGATTCATTCTTTCCCCACAATCGACTTAGTGATTTGTGAATAAATTATACAAGATGCTTAAGAGACTTTGAAAAGCTCAAAGGAAGTCAGGAAAACTATTGATCAACCTACTCTCCTTCTGAGCAAGGGAGAGATCCTAGAGAGAGACCCAGAGCCATCCTCATGCATCCCACACACGCACTCACTCCTGAGATTCCAGCACTGCTGACTTTTTAGTCTCAACTTTCTACACCCAATAAAAAGCCACAGTACTGACCATAACTGTTTCTTTCTGCACTTGCAGCTTATTCAGTGGGCAAACCAAACCTGGTAATCTCTTGTGCCGAGTTCTAACAGGGAATGATACGCTCCAGCAAGAACCCCAACATGCTGTGCTGTCTACTGAATTCCTAGTTTTAATTTAGCAATTCACTATAATAAATATAAAATGCACCCTTTTCTAAATATAAGCTTCCACATACCTTCTACAACAAAAGATTCACAGAGATTTTAGATCAGGCAGCCTCTCATGAGAACAGCAGAACCAGAACACTCCTTTGACGTAAAATCAGATAAGCCATTTTCTTCCTCTGATTCGCTAACAAAGCAAAAGGAACTTTGCAAAAATAGTTTACTACTCTAAGAATAATGGCAAAATAATTAATTTCTACCAGTCTTGTGCTTTAGCAACTAGAAGCAAGGCCTAACTAGCAGCATGTAACCAACCAATTCTTCCCAGACTAACAGCAAACACTCTGTGTTTTAACAAATGTTCTGATTTATGTAGCCTGTTCTTTTAAGATTATTTCTGAGCATAATGGATGTAAAAGAAAGAAGATTCACAAAGCTGAACAATGGGATAATAAGCCTATGAACAGCTAGGCAACTTAGAAGTGAATCCATGGGAGGAGAGGATTCTGTCACCCTAAATGCATTGATCTAAATAGCCAACTCTTTTTAACACTGAGTATTCTATTTACACCACTTCACAGGCATGGCATAAAGCATTTTATTCAAATGTAGTGGCTCTCCCTTTTCTGTTGAAATGAATGGGACATTTCAGAAACATTACTTTGTTAAATATTTCTACAGGTATGTGCAGCTACATTTCTTATGCAAGATATTTTCTTACAAGGTGCCCGAGATGACCACTATACTGTATCAGCTAATACCAAAATAATAACATATCTTCCAGTTGCAAAGCTCAGTGTCAACTACAATACAAATTTAGCTGGCAAACTGTTCTCCAGGTAGTAAAAAGTCAGAGATAGCTTTAAGAAGTTACTAATTCAAGCATCTCTCCTTAATGTAGTGTGAAACTCAATTCTGAAATCCAATCAACAGATTTTGCATTTACTGTAGTTGTGACAGAAGTCAATGGCCTTAAATGTTTTCACCTCTCAAAAGTTGCAAAGGTTCAAGCAAAAATGTCTGCTTAGCAAAATCTTTACATCATAATAGCTAACCCAAATCTGTTACCCTCCAAAACTAACACACAAGTTTTCAGCAATTTGAAGAGCTGCTTAACAGGAAGAAATTCACACTCTTGAGGCATAAGCACCACATCTGACATAGTAGTTATAAAAAATTTTCAAACCTAGATATGCCCAAAACAAAAAACAAGACAGCCCAGTCTTTCAACTAGGAAGACTCAATCTTAGTAACAGGTTTAGCCATATATTCCTGATTTTTCTCCTAAATCATCTTATTGATGCTTGAATTAAAGAGAATGTGGCATGCTGTCTCCATTGGGGAAGCAATTTTGAACATCTATCAGAACAGAATTACATCAACTTTAATTGCTTTTAAAAACTCTCCTTCATTTGTCAGGCTTATGTACACTACCAAAGACTTACCTGACACAAAACAGTCATCTCAGCCAATGATTTCCCCTTTTACATACCACAAAAGAAAACTATTATGATTTTCTACACTACCACAAAAATAAATATGAAAGGTATTACACAATACCTTTTAATAAATACAAATACCTTTTAATTAATAAATACAAAGACATTACACTTGATGCAAGCCCAAGTAATATAGGACCAAAGAATGAGCTTTGTGACATGAAAGGGTTAATTGCTGCCCTTAATTACACACGACAGACTTTAATGGGAGTGATCACTGCAGCAACATCTATAAACACAATGTCCACATTAGCAGAACACCAGTTATGAAAGCCCTGCCAATACTACTAGTACAGGGATTGTTTTGTTTATTTTAATCAAATTTTACCAAATTCTGCTGTATTTGCAGAGCTCTGCAAAAAACCTGTAAGGCTGAGGAGCTTTAAATAACATAACATGCAATAGTAACCATGACAATAAGAAAAATGCTTTTGCTAATCTTTTTATTTCAGCTGACAATACTTTCAAATACTGGTGTTTTTCCTCTAGATGACAACTTTTGTTTGTTGCTCACGATGAATTCTAGGCCTCCCATCCTTGCAAGCCCAAAACTTTTGACCAAGGGAGCAGCAATTTGGGGTGCACTGATAACCTGGGATGAGTCCTAATTGTGGTAGGCTGGACATCATCTGTAGGCAACTATATCTTCATTGTTGCTCTGAATTGGTGCATGAAAATGACATTTTTAAGGTAATTATTCTGCAATGGGGAACTTGAAAAAAAATTAAAAAAAAAAAACCAAAAAACATAAAGGCAGAATGCAGATAGGGTATTCCTCTGGAGAGCACAAAACTGCAGAGGTATGTTAGAATTTGGGCCCAGCCAGGCTGATCATAAACTTAAGAAAACAGCCTGGAACTCCTCTGCATTGGTTTTGTCTTGGTTTTATATTAAGTTGGAGTTTTAAGCAATAAAAAATGAAAGAAATAAAGATTCTTCAGAGATTTATCTTTGCTCTCTACCATTTCTCCAACAGGCTCGCTCACCAAATGGGACAATGCTTTCAAAAGATGTATGGGATAAGGATCTGAAGTCACATATTGGAAAGTGACTAAAGGGACGATTTTCAAAGGCATTAAGATACCTAAAGATGCATTAAGCACTTAAAATTTTCAAAACTGCCTGGGCATCTAACGCCTATTTAAATCACTTAGTCCTTTTTGAAAATCCCAGTGGGCAGTTATCTACATTTTATGTGTCTATATGCCTTTGAAAATCTGTACCATTAAATACTTAACAACCTAAGTACCCCGGCTTTTAATGGGACTTTGAGTCCTAAAAAGTGTAAGTACATCTGAAAATTGGTCAAGCCACTCTCTCTGGTCTTTTTTTCCCCTTTCCTTTAAAGAGGCATCTCCTGATGCTTATCCATAGCATGTCAGCTAAGCAGAGCTTCAGCATTGTCCAACTTACACACTGAGCTGTGCACATTTGATTTGTTTTATGGAGTTAAACAAATAAAAATCCAGAGTACAGACTTTATCCTCAAAAAAGACTTTCTGAAGCTCCTAAAAAGAAATGAAATTCCCATCTGTAACCCCAGTGAATGGCCCCAAAAAAAACACGTTTTCAATAAACGTGACCCCACATGAGAACAACTTAGGCTGATAAAGAAGCAACATCATTGTTTAATACCCATGCAACATATTCAAAATACCACAAAAAAGTTCTGAAAGGCAGCCACACAGCAACAAGAAAAAACAGAAAAAGGAGGAAGTTGTGAATAGGCTCTTTAAAAAGGCAGCAATTCCAGAAAAGAAGACAAGCTTTCATTCTGAATTTTCTTTTTTTTTTTTTTAAAAACTGTATGAAACCGTAAAGCATTCCCTTATGCAAGCATTTGAAAGATACATCCTCCGATCTGCTGTAATGTCAATAGGAGGTAACTTGCACTGACCAAATTCCCAAAAAGGAACTGATTTGTAAATTGGGAACGCAGGGAATCAGATTGCCACCTACAGGAAAATTTAGCATTTATTGTCAAGAATGACTCAAAAAGAATACAAATTGCCATCTTGCCAAGCATTCTTTTACTTCAAAACCAATTAGCCTTTTCTTTTGTGCAACTATATCATAAGCTTCCTAAACCCAGGAAGCCATTATAATTTCTTTTTATTTATGAGTACTGCTTGAAAGTTCCATAATTCAATTACAAAATCATGTGATAGTTAAAGAATTTTAAGTCTGCTTACCTGATACCATTGGTGCTAGCCTGAATATGTCTGATAGTCTGCTGTTAACTGGCTCATAAGGGGAATCTTCAAGCAAGTCATTTCCTAAGGACAAAAAATATTTGGATTTTTTTCTTACACATGGATTCAGGATAAGATTTTTTTTTGTTTACTTTTACTCCATAACAGTGAAATGTACTCCCCTTTAATCCCTTTAAAAAGTTTATATGGGTACTTCTCAAAGAATTACCTATAAAAACACCTGAAAGAAGCTAATTGTTTATCCCTGTCACTAGATCTCTCCCTCCTCCCTGGGTAAGGTCATAATTTGCAGAGACAGCCTGTGACATCACAGGACTGTCCCACCTCATGCCAGCAGGAGAGAAGCTGTAGCAAGGATGCTCCTCTTCATTCACCAGAACAGCAGAGCTCTTTTTTAGAGAAGCTCAACTAACAGCCAAAAACTAGCATCGTTGGTATGAAACACTCCTGACAAGATGCTGCTGGAAGAGAAACGCTTTATGATGTACAAAATGTCTGTTATTACCCCTAGCACAAAAAATACACATGGACTCATTAAAACATACAGATAAATGAACAGAAAGAGATTGTTTCCCTTTTTGCAGAAGAAACTTAAAAAAAAAGTTAAATGGGGAGCACACTGAAGTGAGAGATTGCACCTTCAACTCCAGGACCACAGCAAGACAGGACTAAAAATGATGTCTCTCATATGAGGACCAGACTGTTCTCAGTAGAATAAGATAAGTTTGCCTTATGAATTTGAATAACAGAACAGTCCTGAGTCAACCACTGTCATATCTCTTCTAACTTCCTACATGCTGTAGGAACCATAAACTTTGGTGTTTTTTCTGCCTCAGCACGCCCAGGGAATACTGCTAGTAAATACAGGAAAGGAAAACATAAACTTTTACTTAAAACAATATTTTATTCACATTATATTTAACTTTCAGCAAACTGACTAAGAAATTAGTTCCAGTGTCCTGTCAGGTGAGTCCTAATGAAGGAGTTTTAACATTATTAGGAGAACGTCTCCAAATGACTGTTTTCGTGGCTCTTGCACATGCTCGTGCCCCTATCTTTTGACTGCGGCTGGGGAAGCTCAGCCGGGTCCTTGGGGGAAGCTCTGGCTGTCGCTTTCCCAGCGCAGGAGCGGAGCCGCAGCTGCGCGGGTGCGGACGGGGCACAGCCAGAGCCCGGCCGAGCCGGGAACCCGCACCCTGCCCTGGGGGATCTGCGCTTCGCCACGTACCCTGCAAGCTCTGGTACATGCTCCAGTAAATGCGCAGGCAGTTCTTCTCCTTCTTCATGCCCCTCTTGCAGCGGCAGTTGTACAGGGATTTCTGCTTGAGAGCTTCCATGGCGCTTCTGCATTCGTCCTTCGCCTCCAGGCCCGTGGCCCGGCTGAAGTTGCTCTCTTTGCCGGCTACACACTGCCTCAGTGTCCTGAATTTAGTACTACAGCTCTGCTCCTTCAGACACTGATCGCTGGCTTTCACGCAGTCCAGGCGGTCCCCTCCAGGCAGCCCGCTGACTTCTGCAGACAAAAGTACATCTGTGGAGAGCAGCCACAAAGCAACCCGCGCTCTTTGGGGGAGCAGGGTGCGCGGAACCCCAGCTCCAGAGCAGCAGCTGCGAGGCACCGGGCACCTCCTCACGCTGCACATGCGGCAACCCCAGGGGCAGCACCTTGCAAACCTCCTGCCTTCGTGCTACGCCTTAGGAAAAAGCACCCAGGGTTTCTATGGGCTTAGATCCACTTTCGGGGGAGAACAAGGAAACAGTATTTTTTAACCCTGATGGCTGATTTATAAGGAAACACAGAAAGGAAAGAAAACCAGGAGGGATTAATGTGCCTGATAAAACAAGCATTTGTTATTCCACAGATCCACTTTGGTGAAACAAATCAGCTTTCCATTCCAGGGTTTAACTAAGGGGTTAAATATTCAGCCTCACTTTCCACAAGAGCTTTGCTGTAATTTCACTTACATCCAGGAACAGCCCGCTCAGAGAGATAAGTATCCCCGCTGATTGATATTAGCCTGTCTTTGCGTCAGTCACTTTTTAAAGGCTGTGCACATTTTTGCTTATTCTATACGCATAAAGGTAGAATTTGTTACTTCCCCCCCTGCCCATATCTCTCCACGTATGATGCTTTTGCAGGAGAACAAAGCAAATTGCATTAACTCTCTCCTCTCCATCGTGCCCCCGTCATGCTCCCTCAAACACATGCGGATGGAAAAGCAAACCTCTCCTGTGGAAAGGAAACCAGTTTGGGCTGCAAACCACTACCAGTCGGGCAGGCTGCCAGGTTCAGGTGAAGATGTAATCCTTCAGCTGATCTTGTCATCCCCCACCCTCCCCAGGCAGCCTTATTTTATTTAAATCAAAAGTTTCCCTGTAACTTGCGAGAATCCAATTTAACAAGAGGCTAGACAGGCAAGTACCGAAGTCTGTAAGCTACAGAGCTTTAAATGTACACCGGGCTAACTGATGTGAGGCAGAGCCATAAAAACTACTGGAAACTTCACTGTTCTGCCTAAACAATAGACTGACAAGCATCAGGCTCCCGGTCCCATAAACCCTATGCTTTGCTTTATGAAGCGATGTGCAGACCGAAATCAGGCATCAGCAACTTACCCACTAAGGGCAAAGCGAAGTACAGGAGAACGAGAAACATCTTGCTGTCTTCGGATGGTTTCCCCAAACGACTTGATGTGTCACAACAAAGATGATCAGCATGTAGATATTCCAATACCGCCGAGGTCTAAAGGCTCCAAGTTCAGATCCATTGAATTCAAGGGGGAAAGGAAAAAAAAAAAGCCACCAAGCAAAAAACCCCCACAACTCCCTCTCCTCTTCACCGCTACCACCACCGGCGGCAGGAGCAGCGACGCAAACGCTGAGCTTTTCCCTTAGATTTCAGGTCTGAGCAACCTGCAGGCACAAGCACTGACTCCAGTGCGGGAGCGAGAGGCGCACGCACGGTCTGTGTGTGTGTCTGTGAGATGTGTGTGAGTGAGCGAGCGGCAGCGGGGCAGCAGCGCCGGTCGCCTCCTTGGGTGGGCAGCGCCTGTTCCCAGGGAGGGACCGAGAGCGCACGGGGGGCGGGAGGGGGGTGCACACACGAGACCCGCAGCGCCCGCCCGCAGCCGGGGCCAGCCGCTGGCTGGCAGCCCCGAGCCGCGGCTTCCCGAGCCCCCACGCCGGGGCAATTCGCCTCCTCCACCCCCCCGACCGCAACTTTATTGACGCGCCGGGGCCGGGGCGGTGCGCGGGGCGCGCAGGCTGCGCGGAGCGCTCGCCGCCGGGGCGGAGCGGGGGTGGCCGCGCTGCCGGCAGCCAAAGTTTGCCAGGGAAAACTGGGACGGGCGGGAGGCGCGGCCGCTCCGGTTCCGCCGAGCAGAGCGGAGCCCCTCTCGGCCCCGACAGCGGCCCCGGCAGGAGCGGATCCCAGCGGGCAGGAGCGGATCCCAGCGGGCAGGAGCGGATCCCAGCGGGCGCCGCCGGCACCGGGCAGCCGGGGAGAGGCGGCGGCGCCGCGGGGATGCCCCGCTCCCCGCCCGCCCTTCCTCCCTCGGCGGGGCTCGGCGGTCGCGGCCTCCCCCTGCCGGCCCCGCCGTCCTCCGGGGAAGTCCGGGGCGTCCCGCGGCGGCCCCAGGGCGGCGGGAGCACCGCCCGTCCTTCCCCGCAGCGTCCGCGGGGCGGGCGGGCCCCGCATCCCTGCAGTGCGCGGTGCGGTCCGGCCCTCGGCCGGAGCCCAGCGCAGTGTATCGGCTTCCACTTGGCTCCTGAATAAACAAAGCCAACATATGTCCCATATTCGTGACAGATGGTTCAAACAGCGAACTATTTAGTGGTTTTCCCGCAGTTGCTACTATGTACCACTCCCCCGAAACCCAACAAAATGCAATTAGCCTAAAATAGCTTCAGCTTCCAGATTCCTTATTTTCATACGTGGAAAATTTGATTCAGGTGTTTTTATGTTCTGGCTGCAACCAAATGTGTTAAGTTGTTTTGGGTTTGTTTTTTTCTATTTCTAAAAGAGTCAGCATATATGTTCATTGCCAGTTTTGTCAACAAGCTATTTGGCCCGTTCGGCTCAAGGAATTTGCTTCTCCTTGCAATAAATTTTGCCTAAAGGAGTTTGAGCCGCCTCATGAGATGGGAGATGATCAGGCTGGCCACTTTTATAGCAAAAACTGGATGGCAGATGGAGCTAAACTGTTGAAAGGTACTTCAAAACACTTATTTAAAAGCCTAGCATATGCCAGGATATACAGAGAGTACAACATTCATAGAACCCAAATGGAAAGGGCTTATTTTTGTTTGCCTTGCTGTTCGGGTTTTTTTTTTTTTCCCTCTCTTGCCCCTCTTACTTAACAGATGGATTTGCATTTCTACCAAAAAAAGAACCCCAAAACCCATGACCCACAATAAAAATACAACAAACAAATTCCAACAGAAACCAAAAAACCTGTGTAAATTACTGGTTCTCTCAGTGAAATTGTAATAGTGATATCAACTTGAAACTGATTAAGTCACAAGTTTTGTGGTTTAGTGTTTAATGTGAAGAGGCATATACTATTACATGGTCACGAAGTCTATTATCTGCTGCACATACAAGGATGTAATTGGAGGAACAAAGACGATGACCAGATTTCTGGAGTATTTCAGCCTAATGAGAAGGTGCTACATTGGTGATAGCATTGACGACTGGATACAGCTTCAGCTTTTCAAATCGCTGGTATTTAATGAAACAAGTTGGTCTTCCAAACACTTCAATAGAAATCGAGCTCAGTGATACAGAGAGATGATTACTTCTTCACTGGTAATTTTGACATCATTATGGCACACGATAAGCTCTGTATAGAAGTTATCTGTGTATCTAACACAAAGGTAGCATAATTCTCCTGTCATTTAGAAGCCTAAGTCAAGAATAGCTACAAGATTCTCAGCAGAGGGTAGCAACTGAAAATCAGACTGAAATCCAGGGCACTTTTTACAAAACCATTAATGCATTAATGTCCTGAATACATACATACACACAGACATCTATACACACAAGTTATTTGGCATTTAAACAAGCAACACATTGCAAATCTCTGCATTAATAACTACTTTTACTGCTATAAAACACAGCTTTTGTGGGGTGTTTCCTGTTACAGTAAAACTGAACTCGCGTTTTAAGTGTTAAAAGTGGAATAAAATGTCGCTGACAGTTCAGAAATAACAAAACAGCTGGAAAACATGCATCCAAAAATTCTGAATACTATCTAAACACTCCTCTTGCCAGTATTTTGACTCATCTCAGGAAAACTACCACCCAAAGTGAAAAAAGGTTAAAAGGTTTTAATCGAGAAAAAAAGTTTAAAATGCAACCATGCTTGAAAATCAAGATCCAAGAAGAAAGTCCATGCTGTATACAGTTCCTCAGAATATCCAACTGCTACACACTCTTTACCAGGACAGTAGGTGGGAGACAGCTCCTTACAAACCACAAGGACATTTTTCCATAGCAGAAATTAGGTGTTTTTTTTTTTTCTTTTTCTCTTTCATATATGGAATTACTTATAAATTTCTGTTGCAGACAAAACCCCATAAACCACTTTGTGGCTGGAGTCATAATCCTTTGGGTCTTTGCACAGTGTTTTCCAACTGCCTTTTACTTGCCCTGGGGTAAAATTAAGTCATTGAATGTTTTGCTGTTGATTTCAGTGAAACCAAGGTCTGCCTTACAATTTGTATCTGTCAATCATTCAACTCATAAATCTCTTCAGATAAAAGTAAAAGAGTAAACCACACAGTACTTAATGCAAATATTTTAAAGATATTTAAGCTTTTTAAAATATTCTGCTGGTCAAGTTGTGTAAAAAATTTTCAGAACAATTAACATAACATAACATAACATTACATAACATAACATACATAAGGTGCAGCTGGTAACAACAAACACTTCATTATAGGAAGGATGACAACACAATCACCCTTGATTATTGTTTAAAGGCCATTACAGTATAAATAATGTGGAAGGCAGAACCAAATACTCCAAGCTACTTGCTGCCAGCATTAACTGTCAGTAATTCAGTCTTCATGTAGTTGTAGTTACTGGTTTCTTTCTAGTTGGAAGCCGTTATACAAGAGTTGGTTTTCTTTCATTGGAAACTTTTCACAAAGAAAAGACAAAGTAATGTGGATAGTGGGGTTATTTGACACTAAAACTTCAGTAAAATTAGTGCTTGAAACCCTTTTCTTTCCAAGTAGATTGAAGTAAGTGTTTTAAGCTTCCTGTCAGCTTGCAGCCTGGGCCCAAATGCTCTGAATGCAGCAACAGCACCAAGCGAGATCAGCCTGTATCCATCCAGGCCACCTGCTCCTGGAGGCCAGGCATGCACAGCAAAAGCAGAACTTTGCTGCATTCAGTCCTGCTGATGTCCTTCTACCTCCTCCTCTGCAAGTAAACTGATGACAGCAAACTCTTCAGAGGTGTCACATGGAGAGGTGCCTCCCTCAAAGGCAGTGGATGTGGTGGGTGTGGAAGCCAGTTCCACTTGCAAAGGCTGCGTTGTTGGAGCACTGTGTTGGGTTGGTCTGGCTGGCAGCAGCTCTGATGACCATGTACCCCTGAGCTGACAAGGAGGCTGAATTAATCCATTGCCTGGCCCAGGGTTGGCCTGCAGATTCCCTTTGCCATCTCTGCCACAGGCCTCCTTTTAAAGAGTGAACCTTGCAAGAAAATATTGAAGTTGGAGCCACTGAGCCCAGGGAACATTACACAGTATTATCTGCAGTGCCGGTAAGTATGTGAAGAGAAAGTATGCTGAGAATAAGAACAGTGCCATGAACTTTAAATACAATTCTTAGGAGAGTGAAGAGGTGAAGCAAAGCTAAAGTTGAACGAATGAGTCAGATCTAGCAGGTGAAGGAGAGCAAGCTAGTGATGGGAAAAAGTCTGTGTGCCGTGGGAGCACAAAAAGTAGTGTTTACACAGGAGGCTTTCTTCAATAATGAGAAAGGGAGAATAGAGAAGTTAGAGAATTACCAGGGACTGGGGGAACATTCTGAACTGCATTTTTTGTCTTACATTTATCTGCTTACCATGAAGTCAAAGTGCCTTTTGGTGGGAATAAGGCAAGAAGGATTTGCTCAAGGCATTAAAGTTTTGTAAAGGGCAGATTAAATAACAGCGCTCCAAAAATCAATTTTGAGGGGCTTATGAAACCTTGAATGGGCTTTTGCAGCACAAAAGCAAGATTGAGTTTTTACTGAACCTGTCATTTATTTGGGTTTAGAGCTTTCAGTAAGTATCAGAAAAAAAAACAAAACATGAAACAAAAGCAAAGTAAGCAATGAGCATTCACACAGCAATCAAATAAAAAACACGTGGAGGTGCAATCCAGATTACTAAGTGACTTAATTGACGCAAAAGAATAAGAAAGGAAAGTCAGTGTTTCACATCTGCCATTCCCCACCCCCTCTCCCTGGGCTTTAATCAGACCTGGTAGTGAATTCCCACAGCTCTTCCTGGTCAGGAAGTTTTTCCTAAACTCTTGTGTCCCTGTCCTCACCAGACGTTGTGCTGATACACTATCAAGCCACCTGGAACGAGACAAAAAAAATAAAATAAAGAAGAAAAATAAAGCTACAAAATTCAGTAAAATAGATACAGAAACACCAAAAGAGTACAATGCAAGTCAAGAATTTGTGGTTAAGAAACACAACATACTAGTTACCCCTAAAAACATGAAAATGCTGATGGAACTGCAGCTATTTTTAAAGGTATCTGATAGAAATGATTCCGTTTAAGTGGTGATCTAAAGGCATAGGCTGTGATATTTTTCCCAAACTGGTAAGGAAAGTGTTGTTATTAGGAAAAGCCAATCCCTCGCTCCCTGGATTTGGGATTTTTGCTTTAAAAATGGGGTAACACCGCCCCCTAGCCGCTGGTAGGGACAGTGCAGGCTGACGCGGGCAGGGATTCCTGCCCCGCAGAAAACACGGCACAGAATCCATGGCAGGAGGGGGTCCAGCAGCACAGACACTCGATG